TTAGCAGAACGAGGTGAGAACTATCACATCATCTTACTGGGCTAGAACTGGTGAGAGGTGGGTGGTTTTTGCTCTTTTAGTTTGTTCCATCAGAAAATAAAATTGGAAAGTGGGTGTGGAGCAAATCTGAGAAGAGCTTTGTTGGTTCTGAATTAAGTTTTATAATGATTCAACAGCATTTATTTCTTTCAAGATGCAGCCCTTCATAAGGCAGAATAAAACAATCAGGTCCCATTAAAAATGGTGTGGAACCAGCGGAGGGGTTGCAAGGCAGACCCTGACTCTCCTGACATGGAAGGAAAATCTAGTGGCAAATTGATTTTTTTGCTTGCTGAAAGGGGTGTCAAACTCAAAGGCCCACGGCAAAGGATTGGCCCACGGTGGCTCTGCCAGCGAAAATGTAGCTCTGGGGGCCATATGCAAGGAGCTGCAGGAGGCTATTGCAGCCGAAAACGGGCCACGGCTGGGCTACACGCAGCCTCCAGGCTCCGTTTTTGCTGGCAGGGGGCTATCAAAACATACTACAAACAAAACAAAAGAACAAATGCCTCCCCTTTTGCATTTGAGCATGCAGGAAGGGCTAGGAAAGGAGGAAGAGGAAAGACAAAGACAAAGAAGGAAAGATGGGAAGAGAGCAAGGAAGGAAAAATAAGAGGGGAAGGAAGAAGAAAGGAGAATGAAGAGGGAAGGAAAAAGAAGAGGAAGGAAGGAAGGAAAGAAGGAAGGAAGGAATGGGAAGAGGAAAGACAAAGACGAAAAGATGGGAAGAGAGCAAAGAAGGAAAAATGAGGGGAAGGAAGAAGAAAGAATGAAGAGGGAAGGAAAAAGAAGAGGAAGGAAGGAAGGAATGGGAAGAGGAAAGACAAAGACGAAAAGATGGGAAGAGAGCAAAGAAGGAAAAATGAGAGGGGAAGGAAGAAGAAAGGAGAATGAAGAGGGAAGGAAAAAAGGAAGGAAGGAAGGAAGGGAAGAGGAAAGACAAAGACGAAAAGATGGGAAGAGAGCAAAGAAGGAAAAATAAGGAGAGGGGAAGGAAGAAGAAAGGAGAATGAAGAGGGAAGGAAAAAAGAGGAAGGAAGGAAGGAAAGAAAGAAAGAAAGGAGGAAGGGGAAGAGGAAGAGGAAAGACAAAGACAAGGAAAGATGGGAAGAGAGCAAGGAAGGAAAAAAGGGAAGGAAGGAAGGAAGGAAGGAAGGAAGGGAGGGAGGGAGATAATAATAAGAGTGAGGGAGGGTCTCAGGTATGTCCTGCGTTAGCACTTGGCCACCACAGGTGCCCCCGATAAGAATTCCATGTCATGCCCACCATGGCCACACACCCCAGCCATGCCACCTCGGCACCCCAGCCCTCCAAGGTCAAACACAAGCCTGATACGACCCTCAATGAAATCGAGTTTGTCATCCCTGGATTAGGGCACTCTTTAAAAAAAGAAGAAAACTGAGGCGCTTTCAACTTTTTAAAAAGTGCACCTGTTTTATGCTGCTTCCCACAAGTTAAGTTCCTTTTGTAGAAATTTGCATGCATTTCCCAGCCAGTTTTGCTGTTGGGGAGAATTGTAGGAGAATGAAGAGAGCATGCAAATTTGGATCGTATTTTAAGTTCCCCGTCCTCATTTCATACTGACATTTTAAACATTGCTAACCTGCCAGTGAAAGGAAAGGAAACCATGCATAGTGCACGCGATGATGATATATACATATATATATATATAATTCAACCACAAAGGCAAAGTGAGAAGTTGTAAGAAGCAAAAACAATCTTAAAATAGCATCCGGTTAAAAAAATCTGTTATCAGTAGCAATAGCACTTACATACCGCTTCACAGTGCTTCACAGCCCTCTCTAAGTGGTCAGCATATTGCGCCCAACAATTTACATGGGGAAAAAAAAGGCAAGAAAGTCCATTTGCCTTTCAGAAGAGCACTTTTGGATCCTCATTTTACTGACCTCGGAAGGATGGAAGGCTGAGTCAACCTTGAGATGGTCAGAATCGAACTGCTGGCAGTCGGCAGAATTTAGCCTGCAACCACTGCGCCACCATGGCTCTATATGCATATCATTGTCAAGTTAATCAAACTTATGGCTTGTCTGGGCCTATCATGTGAAGCAAATAGAGCAGTTAAGTTTTGTTAACCTAGTTCAGTGTTTCTCAACCTTGGAAGCTTGAAGATGGGTGGACTTCAACTCCCAGAATCCCCCAGCCAGCGCTGCTGGCTGGGGGATTCTGGGAGTTGAAGTCCGCCCATCTTCAAGCTACCAAGGTTGAGAAACACTGACCTAGATTGAAGATGTTGTGTGAAGGGACTTTCATTGTCTTAGGGCAGCCACCAGCCAAGACTTCCCCGTTTGCCAGAGCTGCACCACCATCACTGATGTCATTCCCAACAGCAGATGACAGACATCAAGAAGGGTTTTATGGAGAAAAGTTGGGAAAGCAATGGACAAGTTTAAACAGTGCTTAAACGAACCGTGATGGAAAACAGGTTATATACCTGTTGCAAAATAAACACAATCTTCTTCAAGTGACCTACACAGGCTGTCCTTGACTTTCAACCACAATTGGAGCCAGATGTGTCTGGAGATCTTCAATCATTGAGGTCCTGGTTGTTCCTAAAGTTGCTTTTCCAAAAGGCAACTGGACTTTCTTGGGGTTTTTGTTTTTTTCCCTTCTTTTTTCCCAAAAAGAAGTTTTGCTTCTCATTCAGAAGCTTCCTGGATGAGAAGTGAAATGTTTTCAAGGAAAAAAAGACCAAGAAACACCCTCTTTTGGAGGTCCTCCATAATTTTGAAAAGTGGGAAGACAAAAAAGTTTAATAAATACTGGCATAGATCATCTTTTCAACCTGGAAAGTTAGACAATGATTTTCTAAAAAGCTGCTTACCCCTTTTAAGGGGGATGCGGTGGCTCAGTGGCTAAGACGCTGAGCTTGTTGATCATAATGGTCGGCAGTTCAGCGGTTCGAATCCCTAGCGCTGCGTAACGGGGTGAGCTCCCGTTGCTTGTCCCAGCTTCTGCCAACCTAGCAGTTCAAAAGCACGTAAAAAATGCAAGTAGAAAAATAGGAACCACCTTTGGTGGGAAGGTAACAGTGTTCCGTGTCCCTTTGGCGTTGTTGAGTCATGCCGGCCACATGACCACGGAGACGTCTTTGGACAGCGCTGGCTCTTCGGCTTTGAAATGGAGATGAGCACCGTCCCCTAGAGTCGGGAACAAGTAGCACATATGTGCAAGGGGAATCTTTACCTTTACCCCTTTTAAATGTATGTGTATATTACAAGGCAGCTTTTTTTCATTAAAATGAAAAAAAAAAAATCAAAGCCTACAAAGCAGGGGTGAAATGCTACCGGTTAGGACCAGTTCGGCCGAAGTGGTAGCGGCAGCAGCGTGAGGCTCCGCCCATGCGCCTGATTGTCGTTACTTTTTGGTTTTAACCAGGAAGTAACCTTTTTTTTTACCCTCTGCGCATCCAAAACCGCATGTTATGCATTTACTTCTGAACCGGTAGGGAAGGTAAGTAGATTTCACCCCTGCTACAAAGGGTGGTAAAATTACACTATGAAAGTCGAAATACATTAGATAGAATCAGCAACAGAGAATGTGTGTGTTCTGGATGAAGCCTTTGTTTTCCTTCGAATTATTTCATTATTCCCAAACTATATTTCACAAAGACTTTACATACGCATACAGTACCCATACACATCAAATTTATTAAGGTACAAAATGGATCTTATAAATTATTTCAGACTCATTTAAATTAACAGTTCACAGTACTGTGGGCGTTTACAAAATAAAATTACAGTTCTACAAAAACTGTGCGTTACTTCATACCTTTTTATCCAAGAGAGATCAAAAAGAAAAGACACATGATCTCTCTTTTCATCTCGTGTCCTTTTTCCATCCCATATGCGACTATCCCTCAAGAGGATTTATCCTTCCAATAATGTCTTAAGTGATTTATTGTGGTCAGTGAGGTATAAAGTATGAGAATGCTGTTAAAGGGGGAAGGAAGAACTAAGCTGTTAAGGAGGGTTTTGGACTAGAGATTACACAGGGCAGAAATAGAAGAAAGAATGAGAAAGAAACTGAAAATAACTCCATCTTGATTTTCTTAGCATCAAATGGGACAGAGAGAAACCTGATCAGTCTTTCAAGATAGATCAGTGTTTCTCAACGTTGGCCGCTTGAAGATGTGTGAACTTCAATTCCCAGAATTCCCCAGCCAGTATTCTGGGGGTTGAAGCAGTGGTGAAATGTAAAATTTGTTACTACCAGTTCTGTGGGCGTGGCTTGGTGGGGGGGGTGTAATATGACTGAGTGGGCGTGGCCAACTTTTTTTTTTTTTACTTTTAAAACCATTTTTTCTACAACCTCTTCGGCTGAAGAGGTTGCAAAAAAAATGCTTTTAAAGCCTCTGACAATCCCAGCTGACTTGCCTGATCAGCAGAGGCTTTTTTTCCTTTTAAAAACATTTTTTCTATAACCTCTTCAGCCATCAGAGGCTTTTTTTTTTTTAACTTTTAAAAGCATTTTTTCGGCCAAAGAGGTTGTAGAAAAAATGCTTTTAAAAATTAAAAAAAAAGCCTCTGATGATTGCACTCAGCTGGGCAATGGGGGGCGGGAGGAGGCAGGGATTTTTGCTACCGGTTCTCCGAACCACCCGCCTCCATCGCTACTGGATTGAGCGATCTGGTCCGAACCGGGAGAATTTCACCTCTGGGTTGAAGTCCACGCATCTTCAAGCTGTCAAGGTTGAGAAACACTGAGATAGATAGACTTGTGAACTTCAACTCCCAGAATTCCTCAGCCAGCTGGCTGAGGAACTCTGGGAGTTTGAAGTCCACAAGTTTTAAAGTTGCCAAGGTTGGAGACCCCTGGTCTAAGTTGAGGAACAGACATAGCAAGGATTCCTAGAATCCTACTTTATTGTAGGATATATCAGAATGTTGAAAGTCTATCCAGGTTTCTCTCTATTCTGTGTTAAACTAAAGAAGACAGCATTATTTTGAGTTTTATCCCCATGCTTGCTATATGGGCCAATTGTACCTGGAAGAGTACTCTAGTGAAATGTTTAAAATAAGTGGTAAATCTGCCCCCCGCCCCCCAAGTTATTATGGCATCACATATAGGTGTTATCAACCCCACTCCACCCGTAATATGAATTTCCTCTCAATCACTCAGCTTCAACAATACTTATTTCGGATGGATCCTTTGCACGTCCACAGTGCATGTTATGAAATTGAACACTGTCCTGTAAATCTTGCCTTGAAAGCCGCCTTCGAAACTCATCGGTAGTAAAGTAATAAATTATAGGGTCGAGACATGAATTTAAACTGGCAAGACACAAGGCAATCGCGTGGAAGACCAAAATAACCTTCCGGGCATAAGAATCTTCTATCTTTTGGGACTTGACCAAGTAATTCAAAGGGAAGCTGATGTGATAAGGACCAAAGCAAATCAAAAAGACAATGGCACAAGTCAGGATCATCTTTAAGGCTTTCTGTTTCTCCCCAAGATCTTGGGAAACAGAATTCTTCTCTTGGAGAGATAAGATGGTCTTCCAGGAACAATACAGGATGATCAACAGAGGGGTTACAAAGCCAACCAGCTCACCTAGGGACATCATTGCTATTGAGATAGGTTCATCTGCAGTCTTCAAGGGCAGGTCCGCAAAGCATTTATTGTTGGCACCGGTCTTGTTGGGGGTAAGACGCAGAAGGGGGAAGGGTAAGCAGCCAAGGCAAACTACAACCCATCCAATAAGGCAGATGTACATGTCGTAGATGCGCTTGCAGTCACTGAACTTCAGAGGGTGCATCAGGAACTGGAATCTCCTCACACTGATGCAAACCAAGAAGTAAATGCTTGCATACATGTTGACATACTTGAGATAGAAGCAAAACATGCAAAGTTCCTTCCCCAGGTGCCAACTTTTAGACAGATAATAAAAAATCCTTAGTGGCAGAGATAAAACTTGGGCCAAGTCTGCAATGGCGAGATTGATCATAAAAATCACGGCCCGTTTAGTTTCCTTCATGTATCCATAGAAGACCCAAAGAGCCAAAACATTCCCAATCAGCCCAGGAACCAGGATGATGGTGTACATGATGGCGTAGAAATGTTTCAAGAACTCCTCTTCATTATGGTTGGAGTCATTGGCTGCCATGATTTTCCTTGGGAAGTATGGAGTGGCTAGGTAGGAGAACGGTAAGGATATTATGTAAAATTGTTGCTATCTTGAATTCTCAGGGGAAGGATGTGAAAAGGCTGTAACCTGAGCTGAGGCACTGCGTATGTGAAATCCGAATATCGCCTGGTTTTGTTGCATCATCTTTTCTTTTGCAAGCTTGCAAAGTGCAAATTTTGCTGCACTTTCTTTGTAGGAATTTTTTTTAAAAAAAACAGAATATTTAGGATCTTTTTGCTTCTCTGATTCCTGTATGCTCATCTTTGGATCCTCCTTTAGCTTTCTTCATTGTGTTGAGTTTTGTCTAAAATAAGCTTGTTTGATTATGGCATCCGGTTGATTTTGGAAGAAGCTTTATCACAGAGTCTTGAGTCCTCACTCTCAAATGAGAATTGTCTCGACAAATAAATCCCAAACGTACGTTGTGGACAAGAGGCAAGGAGAACCAGGTATCATCTGAGACATCACAGCCACCACCTGTTCCTTTTCTGTTCCTTTTCAACTGTCATACCAAAAAGGACTTTTATCGCTGTTATTCTGCAATACAGCAAAATTGGAACACCTGCAACTGAAGAAAATACAAATAAGAGTTTATATGGTCCTATTCAATGAAAAGCATCTCAAAGCTGGCTTGGTTAGAGGTTCCATCAACCGACACATCTCACCTCTCTTAGATACATCAGAGAAAGTTGTAACCCCAAGGTCCTCCTCTTCTTTGGCAGAGCTTACACCAATGACTACTTGGCCTCCCATCCCAACCTCGCCTTCCTCAGAAGACATTCTATCTGTCAGCTTCAGAAAGCAAGGTGAGAAAATAAAGCTGCTTCTATTCAGATTGGGATTGTTTGGGATGTCCCCTCTTTGAAAAGAATCTACGGTAGATGTCCTAGTGGACAACCACTTAAGTATGACCCAACAGTGGCCAACACACTCTTAAGCTGCATCAGCAGAGGGATAGCAATAGTACCAGCACTTAGATTTATATACCACTTTACAGGGCTTCACAGCCCTCTCTAAGTGGTTTACAGAGTCAGCCTATTGCCCCCAACAATCTGGGTCCTCATTTTACCCACCTCGGAAGGATGGAAGGCTGAGTCAACCTTGAGCCTGATGGGATTTGAACTGCAAAATTGCAGTCAGCTGGCAGTCAGCAGAAGTAGCCTGCAGTTCTGCACTATAACCACTGCACCACCGAGCACAGGGGTCAGCAACCTTAAACACTCAAAGAGCCACAAAGGTCCTAACTGGAAGCCCCCATTCAATTCTGGAGTCAATTGGAAGTCCGGTTCCACATCATAGTCTCCTCCTAGCGTGGCATCCTTTTTCCTCTACCTGTCCTAACCGAAAGCCCTATCAATTGTGGAGCCCATCAGCAACAGGGAGCCGCAGCAGAGAGATGAAAGAGCCACATGCAGCTCCATAGCTGCGGGTTGCTGACCCCTGCTTTAGCATCAAGATTACAAGAAATGATAGTACTGCTCCAGTGGTGAAATGTAAACTTTGTTACTACCGGTTCTGTGGGCGTGGCTTGGTAGGGGGTAAGGTGACTGAGTGGGCGTGGCCAATTTTTTAAAATTTTTTAATTTACTTTTAAAACCATTTTTTCTATAACCTCTTCGGCTGATCAGGCAACTCAGCTGGGATAGTCAGAGGCTTTTAAAAGCATTTTTTCTACAACCTCTTCAGCCGAAGAGGTTGCAGAAAAAATGCTTTTAAAAGCCTCTGACGATCTTAGCTGAGCCGTGCGATCATCAGAGGCTTTTTTATTTTTTACTTTTAAAAGCAATTTTTCGGCCAAAGAGGTTGTAGAAAAAATGCTTTTAAAAATTAAAAAAAAAAAGCCTCTGATGATTGCGCGGCTCAGCTGGGCACGGGGGGTGGGCAGGAATTTTTGCTACTGGTTCTCTGAACCACCCGCCTCCATCACTACCAGATCGGGCAATCCGGTCCGAACCGGGAGCATTTCACCCCTGTACTGCTCCCTATTGCTCTAAGCCACATTTAGAATATTGCAGTTCTGATCACTGCCATGCAAAAAAAGATGCTGAGACCCTAGAGAGAGCGATGAGAAGAACGATAAAGATGATGGCTAAATCTTATGATGAATGGCTAAGAGAACTTGGTATCTTTAGCTTCATAAAGAGAAGGCTGGGGAAGACATGATAGCAATCTTCCAAAATTTGAAGGCATGCAACAGGAAAGAAGAACTCAATTTACTCTCCAAAGCACCTGAAGGTAGGTCAAGAAGAAATGGATGGAAGCTTGTTAAAGAGAGAACCTATCAGGGGTGGGCTGCTGGAGGTTCACAGGGGTTCGGGAGAACCTCTAGCTAAGATTCTGTGCAGTTCGAAGAACCCGCAAATCCCACTCCTGGCTGGCCCCGCCCACCCCACCCTGCCCCTCCCAGGAGTCCCCACGCGGTCCGTTTTGGATGCAGGTAAGTGCAGGGTGCACGTGGAGGCTCAGGGAGGGCGAAAAACATTTCCGGCCTCCAGAGGGCTTCCAGAGCCCAGGGAGGGCAAACCCCCCCCCACACACACACATACACTCGTTGTGGTGCAGGAGGCTGACTAGGCCACGCCCACCATGGCCAGGCCCACCCAGCAATCGGGCAGAAAACCCCTTGCTAAAATTTTTGAAGCCCACCCCTGTAACCAACTTGGAAAAAGGAGGAATTTCTTGACAGTGAGAACGATTAATCAATGGAAGAGTTTGCCTTCTGGAGTTCTGGCTGCTCCATCCCCTGGATGGAGGTTTTTAAGAAAAGATTGGAGAACCATTTGTCCTGGGATGGTATAAGGACTCCTGCCTTGGGCAGGAGGTTGGACTAGAAGACCTCAAGGTTCCTTCCAGCCCTATGATTCTAAAAGCGTCCAATACAAACCATGATAATAGCCTGTGCATTGTGACTGGCACAGATTGTAGAATACTTGCCATTTGAATGATGACACATGAGGTCCTTGACCCCCCCCCCCCCAAAAAAAAGTAGGTACTCATGTCCCCTTCTAAAACTGTCTCCTGCAGCTTCCATTCCTCTTGGTCAAAATACATCACTGTCATCATCATCATGTAATAGTATAAAAGAATAGTTAGATCCTTTTAGATTTGAGATGTAAGGGTTTTTATAGGCAAGTGGATCTTATTTCACTCTTTCAAGAATGCTAAGCCAGTCCAGCTGCATTTAGAGAGTTGTCTGCTCTAAAGCAGATGATTTCTTTTCCTGATTCTATTTCTCTAAGTCCCTGATGGTACATCAACAAATTGATTTAGCAAATTTGCAAAAGATGCACTCCTCTGTTTCCATTAGGTCCCTTATAGTAGGTTTAATAGTAAAACCACCATTTCTTAATTGTTTTGTGCTGCCTAGCTAGTTGGATTGCTTTTCCTCTATTTGTTGGAAGGCTGTTGTACATCTACCTGAATAGAATAAGAATAAGAATAAGAGTAGAGTAGAGTAGAGTAGAGTAGAGTAGAGTAGAGTAGAGTAGAGTAGAGTAGAGTAGAGTAGAATTCTTTATTGGCCAAGTGTGATTGGACACACAAGGAATTTGTCTTTGGTGCATATGCTCTCAGTGTACATAAAAGAAAAGATACGTTCATAAGGTACAACCCTTAATGATAGTCATAGGGTACAAATAAGCAATCAGGAAACATTATCAATATAAATCGTAAGGATACAAGCAACAAAGTTACAGTCATACTTGGAAACTAATAGATCGTAGATTTATTGAGGAGAAGTAAAGTCATTTCATTGTGTTATTTGAGAATTCCTTCCCTCCCCAATGATGTTATTAGACATCATTATATTTGATTAGGGGCAGGCTGTTCCCTCTGAAAGTTGAACGAAAGTACAACTTCCATAACAGAAACGTATCTTCTGGGATTGTGATAGAACTTCAGGGAAAGTCACCCAATAGCTCATCAATCAATCATGTACAGCAGGGGTGTTGAACTCAATTTCATTGAGTGCCGCATCAGGGTTGTGTTTGACCTCCAAGGACTGGGGTGGGTGTGACCAGGGTGGGCGTGGCCAGCTCAATGTCACTCATGTCAGGGATGTCTGTGGTGGCCCAAGTGCTCTGCCAGCGAAAACAGGCTCCTGAGCACCGTTTTCAGCTGCCCTGACCTCCTGCAACCCTCTGCCAATGAAAATGGGTTGCAGGAGGCTGGGACAGCCGAAAACAGAGCTCGGGAGCCTGTTTTTGCTGGCAGAAGTACTGCGGGCCTCCGGAGCTCCATTTTTGATGGCAGAGGTTTGCAGGAGGCCGGGGTAGCCAAAAATGGAGCTCGGGAGCCCATTTTCGCTGGCAGAAGCACCAGCATTTTTGCTGGGCTGGTCCTTCACTGTTTTCCAGGGAGGCTCCGCAGGCCAGATCTAAGTACCCCACGGGCCAGATCTGACCCCCAGGCCTTGAGTTTGACACTCCTGATGTACAGGCTGAACCTGTACCTTGTATTTCTTACTCTGCTTTATGGTATGAGTCAGAATACATAATCTATCAAGTCTTTAGCAGTGTATTCCAGTGCCATTAGTCACAAAAAGCTTCTAAATCTCTACCTTTCAGGTGGCTTTGATTGTGATAGATGAAGACCATTACTTAATGTTCAGTGGTTTGAGGAAAAACATTAAGCCGATGGCCCTTCCAAACTTTCCGTCACAGTCAGCCGAGCCACAGTAAAGTCCTCAGTTATATAAATAGCCAAGATTTGATTCCCCCTCTGAAGGTTTTTCAATGATTAATTAAAATGCGAGATGCTATATCTCATATTATCCTACTAAATCACTACCCTCCATAATATGCCTTTCAAACATGCTGCTAACAGCTAGTTGACAGGTCTGAAAATATGGTCTCACACAGTTGGAGCGACTCGGCATGAAGAAAGCTGGCATAAGGAGTATGTCCTAGAACTCAACTGGTAGGAACAATATAAAGCAGCAGAAAGATTATACCCCACTGCATTATACTTAGCATCTACGAGTCTATAATTTAAAGTGTAAAAAAATTGGGGTGTAATCTTTCTGCTGCTTTGTCACATCACCGTCCCCAGGCGCACAATATTATACACATCAACTATATTCACATCATTTGCAAAACACACTAAACATAGGTTAAGAAAATCTAGAGACTTGTTATTATACCATACATAATGCCAAAACAAGAACCATAAGCTGCTGCCGCTGGGCTGAGGATGGAGGAAGGCATTGCGAGATTGGCTGGGAAACTGTCATAGAATGTTGAAATAGCAATAGCACTTAGACTTATATACCACTTCGCAGTGCTTGACATCCCTCTCTAAACAGTTTACGGAGTCAACATATGGCCCCCAACAATCTGGGTCCTCATTTTACCCACCTCGGAAGGATGGAAGGCTGAGTCAACCTTGAGCCTGGTGAGAATCAAACTGCCGAACTGCCGGCAATCGGCAGTCAGCAGAAGTAGCCTGCAGTACTGCATTCTAACCACTTCACCACCATGGCTCTCTGAAATGGAGATTATATGACTGTAGTGGCAATGTAGCAGTAGCCAGTAGCACTGAAGCAGCCAACTGTCATTCTTTAGAGAGTCA